CACCTACACCAAGTTTGAACATTCTAGCTCAGTTACAAGGAGAGTTATTGTGTCCGACAAATGTGACAGACAGACCCATTTTAAAAATGTTTCCAGTGTTGCAGCTAATGACTCTGGAGAACCATCAAGAATGAATGATGTATCCTCCGCGTATTGTGTTAATAGATCATCTACACCATCTATATTTATATCTTTTATATTTTTTTGTATTTCTAATTAATATAGATCGTAGTTCTGTGCGTATAATAAATATATAAGGGCTCAGGGGACCGCCTTGTCTACAATTCCTCCCAAGTGTGATGCCCATTTATCATAACTCTTCATTCTGAATTTTTGTGTAGGGTAGATATCCATTTTAAATGGAGTTTTTAAAGCCAAAAATTTCAAGAGCTGTATCTATTAAATTCCAGGAGAGGCTATCAAAAGCAATAGCCCCGGTATCTGTTTTTTTTTCTTCCTGTATATTCAAGGACATCATATATTAAACGAATATAGCAATTGTTTATAGATCGAATTACAAAGGGCCCGAAGTCTGCCCAAAACATTTTAAAGAATTCTGCTGGGAAACCCGAAGATCCCGGACTTTTAAAAATCGGAGGGCTTCATAGTCTTTTATTGAACCGCCAAGCTCTTGATCTTCGTGGTCTGACAGCGTGGCAAAAGAAATTTTTGACATTTTTAATTTTAAATCCATCTCATCTGTTATTGAATCACTTTTCTTGTAATTTTTTTGGTAAAACTCTCTTATTTCGTCAAGAATTTCTTTTTGTGCTGTAAACATTTGTCCACTACCTTTCTCTAATCTACTTAATTATCAGTTTACTATAATAGTTTCTAGATTTCATTCTACAAAAATATTTAGTGGGTCGTTCGCCTCCTTCTTCTTGATAAATTTGCTTCTCATTTTAATTTTCCTGAGGTTTATCATTATCAGTTCATTTTGTTTTTGTTTTAATATTTCCATTTGTACAATAAGTTCATTTTCTAATTTTGTAATTACTTTCAACAAACTTGATTCCGCTTTTCTTTGCTCGTTTCTTTTATAGATTTAATATGTTATAGTTTTCTGTCTAATCTCCATAGGTAATATATCTAAAAACTCAAAATCAGAAATTGTAAATTGAACGCTTTTATTTTCTTTAATGGGGCATTTGATTGTATCTCTATAATGTTTATCTTAGAAGGGACGTATTTAGTTTTCATATCCCTTTACTCTTCTGCAAATCGCTTAAGTGGTGAATGATCTGATCTATATTTTGTTTCAATTTTGGTGCTTGTGAACTTGGGCATAAAGCGATTGGAACAAGGAAAAAGTCTAATTTGGGGGATTCTTTTTACACCAAGTATATCTTTCAATTTCTTTTTAGCTTTTGTTTTATGTCAAATGTTTTATCTGAAAATGCTGTTTTGACGTGTCTACATTTAACATTTCCCTTATCACATTTTACATTTGCGTTCTGCCGCATCTCATTTGCCCTTCACGCTTTTTACATAGCATCTTACGCAGAGCGCCAAGTTTGATATACAAATGTAGGAAACACGTGACTTAACATATACGGAAACGAGGCCGAGATCAACCTGGCACACTATAAGCCAGCACACTTATAAGATATTTGCATTGTCTGCGATATCACCTCGGTGGAAACGGTCATTAAATAAAGTTATTTCACGCACACAAGATATTTACCACACGATAGTGAGGCAATCAACATGGCAAACTATAAGAAATTCGCTGGGCGACCGTGCCTTCAATAAAATCATGTGATTGGTATGGCAAATCCGAGCCTTTGACAAATAACATGAATTGAAAGTATAGTCTATATTTAACAATTAAGTTATACTGTCTGACAGCGACATATTTCTTGCGACAAAATAAGGAAGATTTTTCTTTCTCTACAGTAATTATGAATGTGCCAGGAAATAACTGATAGATTCAAAAAGCCAAAGAAACATACTTTCCAGTGATGTATAACACGATAACTGGAATTTCGTATTAAGACCCGTATTTTGACATTTTAAACCCTCGCCACCGCCCCATACCCTTTCTCTAAATTTTAGCACAGGCTAATTAACTTTAATCCATTTAAAAAAAAGTATAACCATTGTGCCCAACAAATAGTGAATATACATGTAGGCTACTTAAAGAGAGAAAAGGGTATACATGTACATGAACGTGCTTTTCACTGATATGTAATATGATATCTGGAATATATTATGACCCGTACTTTGACATTACATACCCCCTCCCTCTCTCCATAATCATGGTAATATAGTTTAGTTTTTTTCACGGTATGTAAATTTCTTATAGCGTGCCAGGTTGATTTCCTCTTATCGTGTGCTGGCTTACAGTGTACCAGGTTGATCCTGGCCTCATTTCCGTATATGTTAATAAGTCACGTCATATCTACATTTGCATATCATAGTTAGTGCTCTGCGTAAGATGTTATGTAGAAAGCGTGAGGGACATTTTTTCACAGCAGTGGGGTGTAGGTATATCAAAGTTACATACATAATTTTACATAAATATACACATATATATAACAAAACAAACAATACCACCCCCATATCTCTCCATACTAGGCGGATGCTATTAATTCTGACGGTGCGTATTAGGGGCCTTCAATGAAACAATTCAATAGGCCACCTAAGTACAATGTAAGTACTTGCAATGTAAATGTAATATCGGTATTACTCGATTGTTACTTATTGTCATTTGCGGGCATATTTGATGTATCTGAACTTCTCGATCTACATGTACTTAGAAGTCATAGATCAACCCATTTGTGCCTCAAGTGGACTAGGAGTTTATATTCTAGGGGTGTGACCAATTTAATGACAAAGGGTGTTGGCGAGGACACCTATCCAGTAGTTAGGATAGAGTAATTTAATAAATCCTATAGAGTCTGGTTTATAATAGAAACTAGGCTAAATAAGTGATTATACATGTGCTTGTATTTATAACAATCAATATAAAACTCCCTAACTCTCCTCTTGTTAAGTTGATATCAAGTATAGATTTAAAACCATGCAGGAATGTTACAAATTTTTGTTAACTTTCTTTTATACTCTATCAAAAGTAAGCCTAATAGCGTATTTAATAGTTTCCAGCTTTTTGAATTTTCGCACATTAAAGTGAAGTCTCTCTTCTCTTCCATTTTTCACCACTAGACAGAGTCTATAGAATCATATGTGTTCCTTGATCTCGTATTCTAGTTTTAATGTCATATATGCAAGACCGGCGAGTTTATGACGTTCCTGTTTAATAGGAATAGGTAGATCCTGAAGAACTTGCCCTTTTTTAGCAGATATGTTTTATGATACTTCTTCAAAGTCTCTGTAGTGCACACATTTCACTGTTATAGGTGGGGAAGGGGGGGGGACTGGGTTATCTCTATCTTCCCATTTCCCCAATCCATGTTGGTTTGCTATCTCCATTTTCAAATTTAGATGAAGATTTTCTTTCAAGAAATTATTCATGGTTTCATTGATATCTTCTTTTGTTTGGGGAATACCATAGAATATTTACGGTCATGTTTTTCCGCCAAAATCAATTTTTCGTTCAACATTTGCACTTGTTAGTTGATCTGAACTCATTAGCTTTCTTTTTTTTTTTTTTAGCTTATCTATATTTTCGCAATTAAATTCTACACTTTCGACATTTTTGTTTTGCACTTCTGTGATTTTCACGTCTAGTAAATTAAGGCTTAGCGATATTTCTTCTTTAATTTCTTTGACGGCAGATGTTATATCGTCTCTGTTTTTTCAATGTTTGTCCTACACGTTCCATGGCCCACTCACTGTCCATACTTATTTTTGTTTCAGGTAACGTCATACTATTTCCAGTGTCTATTTTTTCAGATTGTCTTTGCTTTTCAACGTTCTGTTTTATGGTTTGTTGACAAGTTTTAACACTCATTCCTCTATTCCTGTCTCAAATTACACACATGTATCGCTATTGTTACTATAGTGGTTGCAATGGGTTCTATTTTTAGCAATGGCGACCACGTGTTAAAAAATAAATTTGAAGAGTTTGTGTTGCGAACGAATTGACATGGAAGATACTATACATTGATTTTAAAAAGTCATTTTGTTGTCTTGAGAGAGAGAGAGAGATGGGGTTTAACGTCCACTCGACACAACTCGGTCATTTCGGGGCAAAAATATGGTTTTATTTTATTTCTATAATTCGCTTGCGCATAGGGGTCTTTAGCAGTGGGAGGAAACCGGGTTGTTGTCTTGAACTAGTGAAGTTTCACTCTTACTGTTTTTGGCATGACGCGTGGTGGCGGACCTACTTTTAAGACCGTCTGCTTGGCTAACTACTTTTTAATGTTATAATTATTTTCATTTACCGGTTTCTCTGGCTAGCTTTATGAAATTATATCGACATTAACATTTTGACACTATGGTACATTGTTCACTGCTTACATAGTCTTCAAGGCCCCGTTAATGTGAGAAGCTTCTCACCTCGTCTTGAAAGCGACCATGACGTCCCACTGCGCAACCAGAAGTCCAGGGCCCTGTTTCTCGAAATCTTAACTAAAGATAAAATTCAAATTTTAGTAGATACTTCAATTTTGATTGGCTAAGCACTAAAATCAATCAAATATTATCCAATCAAGTTACTAAAATTTGGTTTTTATCTTAGTTAAAATTTCGCGAAACAGGCCCCAGCTATATAATAATTCGTCAATATGCTGAACAATAAAGTTCTGGATAACAGAGATTACTGAGGGTGTTTCCAGTCACGATAATTACCCATATATTTCGCGCGTGAGTATTTTCTGGAGAAAACACAATAATGAACGGAACATTGGGTGTGTGTTTTGAAACAATAATAAAATGAAACCAAGGTTAGCGCCAATTTCATTGCCAGAATATGTGAAATATCTTAAATATGTGTTTACAACGTCGTAAAGGTTCTAATTTTGTTTGTGTAAAAGGTTGGGTGTATGTTTATATATTAAATTGTTACATTATATCCGTTATTAAATTATACTAGAAACTACAATGCATTGTGTTCCTACAGCTGAAAAATGTCAACCCCATTAAATACATTAACTATATAGACTCCCCACATTTTGTGTCATGCTATATATATTTATCCGTAGAAGTCTGATGTCATAACTTGACGAAGATATCATTATATACCAGCAGTAAGTATCGCAATATTTTATTTTTCATTTCTGTGTTAATTTGGATATCTTGGATGAGGGCAATTTCCGTTATAATTTTAAAAACAATATATAACAAGACCGGCTTTTGACTTATTTGCAGGATTTCAAACCTAGTGCTAGTATTGCAAATCCGCCCAGCTGAAGGAAGTCAGACTCGGATATATAATTATGTAGCCACACGCCCTTTTTCGGACAATGAACTCTTTAAAATTCGAAAATTAGCATTCTTGTTCCTTGGACAGCTGTGCATCAATTGACAAAACTGCGGCGATGAAGGCATTCTCGGCTACTGGTTCATACAGTATTATCGTGCATGTTTTGATTTTAAAAAAATAACACCGCTCAATAATTGTTAAAACTTCTGCCCGCTTTAAAGTTCCAAATACTTTGCCTCCAATATAATAGACAGATGTAAAATTTTATAATGTATCCAGAGTTTTGAAAATTGAATGTTTTCTGTAAAAGGGTCCCCCGTGATGAATATGTGGTATTTATAGAAATATGCCAAACAGATGTGTACAAGATCCGTTTATTTTCTAACTGCTCCATTTTCACAAATTGAATAGAAATGAATAAGGTTAAACGTATTACTTTTCTGCACCAACCGGGAAAAGAAGAAGGGCGTACTCATACACATGTTATGTGCTACGGGGAATATGCCCGGACATTTTGCACACCTTATTACTAACGCAGCCCACACCCACAAAGATGCAAAATCGTGTTACGCTATTGTGGTATAGTCACTGTCAAAAGACTACCGCGACCGACTAATACGATTTCAAAGAAAATTTAAATAATACAGGTAAACTTAAGAGTCTAATCTGCGAAAAATTAGTTAACGTTCATAGGGCTCTAAATTTATTTGTTATTTGAAAAGGAATTCTTTGTTTTTTTGTAATACAGAGGATGGAAGTATTAAACACGCTGATTGGTGTTGGTGTATTCTTGGTATTTATCTCACAAACTGACGCTTATTGCTATGCTTACGCCAACAGATTAGGTAAAATAAAAATATTATACGTTAATTGTGACGTGGTTATATATGCACTAAACTCAATCATACAGATGGGCTAGACTATATAATTAACTTGGAAATCGTCGAAGCTCGGTGGTATTAAAATAGATTTTAAATATCAAATTTTTATCACTAACAGTACTTATATACCCGTTTATTGATTTGCGTCATTCCGTCGTTCGTGGGGCTTAATGTCCACTTTCACCAAGTGATATTGTAGACAAATATTTCATGGGAAACGTGCCAGGTGTTTGAGAGGTTAGTCCATTATTGGATGGAAATGGGGGAACAGGAAAGGAGTTTCGTCGGTTGCAACCCCTTTGGCTGATAGACACAGTCGTATATTGTGACCTTTTCAGGATAATTTTAATTTCATTTTTCAGGTGAAGGCCCCCGTTGTAGTATAGGGAACCATGACGCAGCGCTTGGTGAAACTGTTCGATCTTTGACGGAATGTGTACAATGCAAGTGTCATTTCTGGGGCTATTCATGTTGTGGGTAAGTAGTATCACATTAAATTTTCTTTTACAAGCAACGCCTTTCGAAGGAAGTCTTTACTTTGAATGTCACGTGACACTGGCGCTCCTCAAATGATTGGACCATGCACGTTTGTTCAGCGTTTATTGTTTAGCAAAACGGCGATGTACTACTGTTTTACGACTTCACAATGCTACCAAATAATCCTGATATACACGAGTCACTCTGCATCCGGCTTCTATTTTAAAATGGCTTTGGATCATAAGGCCTGTCATTGAGTCAAGTGGCGTGGTTTCGCTCGCACAAGACAAGGAGGTGGGTCGAATATCCAACATATTGACTCTTCTCTGGTTTCCCGCGACAGCTAAAGATCCATAAGCGCAAGTGAATTATTCAAATTTTAGTCCCGAAATTAACTAGTTTGCGTCAAGTGGTTTCTTTATTAATACATTTAACATCTTAATTGGATAGTGGTAATGGAGTATCTACGTTGGGAGTAAAATAAACGATGATACAGCTTCAAATATGTCCGTTCTAAAAACACTTATTGATACACTATGTGACAGTATTCGCCGCCGATGTTACTCGGGCAACGTAAGTGGACACACTAGACGAATGTATATTCCGATTTCTCGGAGAGTAATTAAGTGACCAGGGCCCGGTTTCACAAAAACTTCAATCCCCTTAAAATTGTCTTAAACTAAAGTTAAGATAGACGCGTTTCAGAAAACGATTTTAAGCATTTTAGAAAAAATCACTAAAATAATATTTTGAGTTAATAATTTAATCCTAACTTTAGGTAGTGGCGTTTCACAAAACCATTTTAGGGACAATTTTAACTAAAATCAATTTTAACTTAGGACAGCCGTCACCCTCTCCTAACTTAAAATCACGACATTAACAAACATTGATTAGGGCTACGTTGTTAGATTTGTTGCGACATATTGATAGATTTGGAATAATGATAATATTACCAATGGCCCGGTTGACACTCAAAACCTCAGTAAACAAAACTTTTTGTTACTATTTTAAACATTACCATATGATTCAAGTATATATTATACTATTTTCAAATAATTAATAAACATTAAAAAAAAAAAACAACCCCCCCCCCCAACCCCCTAAAACACAAGCTGAACTCACTTCATATCTAATGTCATAGAAAGAAGAGCCCTCTCTCTTATCTATAAAAAATATCTTCGTGTAGGCCTACAATGGTTTAAAATTGCCAATTTCTTGGTATTATATAGAAGGCCTACCTGTCTATAATACTAGACATGCCACATGCAAAGTATTTACGCATATGGTTTTGGGGTTATGATGATTTGTAAAATGATAAATCAATAATCTCAAATGTGTTTAGGCCTATTGAAAAATGTTATAGGTTTATCTGAAATTAAATTATAAAATCATAAATTTATTATTATTTCTTAATGAAGGCTTTCGTTAATAACACAGCTCCTATAACAGCTTTAATTTAATAAGATAGATAGGCATTATCCAATAAGGACTGTGGTATTTTTAAAAGAGTGTGGGATGACATTTCAAATCTAGGCATCGGAACATTGAATATTTGATGGATTAGTTTCAAAGTTGTTAAATACTTTTAAAATTCGACAACAATTTACAGCCTACATTAGTCGTTTGAGTCACAAATATCATATGTTTGTGACAATTGTAAATAGTTTCTTTTTTAGTAAAAATGCCATAAAACTACGAAATTCAAGCGATTTAATATAGTTTATCGATGCTTAGTGTTTTCGACTAAAATCGTCGAGATAGGACTTAAAATGTCGATCAACTAGCTTAGTGTCTGTTCTTAAGCGGAGCTAACTGTGGACAGACAGCCTAAGTTTAGTATGGCTCTTTGCCGGTTGACAAATATTAACGAATGGTGCCACCCGAAGCCCGGGCGAATATTGCCGTTTAATAGGTGACGTTAAAATTTTTACTCGAGATAAGAAGTCCGTGAACAGTGGTCATGCTCTAGCATTTTATCTGTCAGGACATTATTACTTATATCTGTTATAAATATAATTATAGCAAAGAAAATTCACAAAAGAAATTAAATTGTGTTTATTATAGGATTGGTTACAATACAGGAGCTATGCGCATTGCAGATTGTAAAATGGTGAAACTTGATGACTGTTGTTACGAGTTTGTCCAGTCATCCAACCCTTCCGTCAAGTGTACAGATGTCATTTGTCCAAGAGGTCTTTTATAATATATTGGGAAACATTTTGTTCTGTGAATGAAATAAAGAAATGTTAAATCTTATATACCTGTATGTGATGACCAATAAGCTATGATCCTAACAACATTGACGTTCGATTTAAGATCAATTCTCACAAACTCTACAGCCATATAAAATACTACCTCTATAGCAAAATAAAACAAATGACGTAAATGTGACCTGAAATAGGCATCAATATCACAAGAGGGCAGATCGTTTTGGATACAAGGACAGCTGTCTAGTCGTTCGGATGGTACGAAAACTGAGGTCCCGTGTACACATTGGCGTGAACGTAACAAATCCCTTGGCAGTTGGAATTCGAGTAGGCCGTAGCGCCGCTGTCCGGGCAAATTTCCCTCATAGCACACTGTATGGCGTATGCCCGTCCTCATTAGCCCAGGTTAGAGGCAGAACAGTAGGACGTTAAACCCCATTTCATTTCATTTCGTTTTTGATACACGATTTGAAAAGAAAATTGATTACCTTTTGCCGTTTCCCATGTCAGTGGAGCAGTAGGGTTGACAATGGCCAGTGTCCAGTCGTTCGGGTGGGACGAAAAAACGAGATCCAGTGTAGACATTGGCGAGTACGTAAAATAACCCTTAGTAGTTGGAATCTAGTATAGTTGTCCATGGAATTAATAACTTATATAACATTGTTTAGCGTATGCCCGGTTGAAGCAGAAAAGTAAACCTAATTTCATTCATTCAGTATAACCTTTCATAAAAAGAACTCATACAAATATGGATAGATAAACCTCAGTCACAAAGTAAACACTAACCTACCAGTTGCGCCAAAGCATAACCCGATCCAGAAATTGTTGACTAAACGGTCTAAGGCCAGTAACTCCTTTTCCTGATTTCATTTATTAATAGAAATTCCTTCTTCTCCCGTTTTTACATGACAATTTTAGTTGTCATTTTGGTCACTGGTCATAGAAGAGTCGACAATGTTTATGGACTGGACAGAGCGTTAGTGACGTATTTCTCCTATCCGTACGGCATGAAGTTTTCCTTCTAATTGATACACAGAAACTTTTATCATAAAGTTTTAATTTGTCTATGATAGAAAACAGTTGATCTGATAACATGAGAATGTTATGCATTAAGCCCCGTGCAATAATCTGAACTGAGAACGTTTTTGAATTCTGAAATTAAATAATAAAAATCTTTGTCGAAAAGTTTACCAGAAACAGCTTGTCAAGGGATAAGTACCCTTATGTCAAAAACAATAAAATGTTCATTATTAATTCTATTTCTTCACGAGAGCAGATCTCCATTGGTATTATGTCTGGAACCGGCAATTTCTAATCTCCACCTAAATTCCCAAGACATAAAAAAGAAACATTGTTTCAACAATTATTGGCTGAAAACAACCTTATATCCGATTCCATCCCCGTCACGTTTATACTGATTAGACTAAACACGAAAATGCGTAATTATACGAATTTCGAAAACCTGTCTTACGTATTCTTTCTATTATTTTCAACTAATATATTGTAAAATATTAAACCCCATTTCATTTTATTGCTGTTCCAGAGTAATCTGGAATAAAGCTACTATTTATGACTTCAATGTTAAAGCTTTCGTTTGTCAGAAGGTTCGTGGGAGGGATATGGATAATACCTGAGCCGACCAGTAACAATAAAGATGACGACGTGAAATGAAATAAATGAATGAATGAATACCAACCGGGCAATATGCGGCAAGCGTAAGCTGAAGTTGGAATGACCACAACTTCCAAAAAGGATTGGTCGATTTCAATATATTTCAATTAATATAGTCGAGACTCAATAGTGAAACATTTCTATAGTATGTAGACCGCTAACAAGTATTCATTTTTTCAAAGACAATGAATTACAATACTATAAATACTACATTGATAGTAGTGCCATACATGACTATAAATATTTATTCTAGGTGGCGGTCACAACATTTCTTGAATACAGATTTAAGCTCTATTACGGTATCAGCATCAAAACATAAATCGGCTTTTAAAGATGCCTTCCCACATACAAAATGTGTGATTTTGGTGATCAATTTGGATTATAACAAACATATTCAAACTAATATATCTATCAAAAGTTTGTTTCAAATCTCTCTCAAAATATTTTATTTGGAAGAAAATTAGAGTCTATTTTATGCAACATTTTTTGTCATGTGACTGGATTGTGGTGGTGGTGGTTGTTGGGATGGGGGGGGGGCATTTTTCAGCTTTACAATTTGTCGTTACTGGCTGTCTTTTTCATGGATTATCCTCTAGCAACATTTTGTGTCATGTGACTGGATTGTGGTGTGGTGGGGGCATTTTTCAGCTTGTACAATTTGTTGTTATTGGCTGTCTATTTCATGTCTATTATCTTCTAGCAACTTCTTGTTTCGCTGTTTAATCGCGGAACCTGTAGTACGTTAAAGTATCACACACTTCTCGAAACCACCAGCAATTAAGTCAACCAAACCAAGCGTCCCCTACGCCATTCCAGCAGGCAATTTAATTTTTCTCCGTTGCGCGCCCCATGAGTGTTTTTCTGGGAATGCAGTATTTTTCTAGTCAGATTGTTTTTATGCTTCTTGGGGATGTATCTTTAAGTGTAGATGGAAAATAATGTTGATACGCTGCCCAATCTATCAACAACGCTAATCTCCTATTTTCCTTAGCTTTTCTGAAAGATACTTTGTTATGAACCTGTTTCACTATTTTGAACCTATAAAATAGCGACTGTCATATATTAAGACATCAGATACCAGAGAAATTGAGGAAAATACAAATCTAAATTTCGGTCGTTTTATTTATAAGCTCGATGGTTGTAGTGAAAATCTATTATGTAACTGCGAAACATCGTCCACATTGAGTCAACTGGCGTGGTTTCGAATCCCCGGTTGTACGTGACAAGGAGTACGGTCGCCTGTCCAACCTCCCACTGCTAAATACCTCTATGCGCAAGCGAATTATTGAAATAAAAGTAAACTATGTTACTCCCGAAATGACCTAGTTTGTGTCGAGTGGACGTTAAACCTCATCTCTCTCTCTCTCTCTCTCTCTCTCTCTCTCTCTCTCTTACTGCAGCATTATGAGTTTTGTAAATTATCATGTGGTGAAGTACTGACATAAACAAAAATTTATACCGATTGTAACATATTTTTATTTAATGTTGCATTTTAACTGATGTCAGTTTTCTTTACCAGCTTGGTTGTTGAGGTAAAAAAATTTAAATAGTTTCTGTAGGAATGTCACTGGTTTGTTCTGTGAAAAAATACAAAATATCAAATATAAAGCACCCAGATCTCTCGTAAACATACCATATTACAGACGGCTTTCATGACGTTCAGTAGGAGTTCAATGAGTGGTCACTCACTAGCCCATCAATCCAACGACCCAGATACCTTGCGTGTCCTTTTACATTTTCGACAATTTATAAAGTACAGTCTAAAGGATTAACAATCCACAAAAGGCTTAGATCCATTTTTGGTAATATTGTTGATTTGGTAGTGCTTATTTAGATTTTGTGCAAATACAATTTCTAAGTGACGAAGGACTGGGGCTATGGAAGCTTCAAAGGACAATGTAAGAAATTACTAAAAGATTTCGCATTTCCTTAGTTATAATCGCAATGTTGTTTTCAACTTACTGAAGATATCAGTAGTAGCAGTTTTAAGAGCACTGAGGGCAGTTAATCCGTGGATAGCCAATTTGGTTCCGAGTTGGGTGGCTGAAGTTTTAACAGTTTCCAGCATATTGGTACCAGCGGTCTTCAGAGCGGTTCCAGTTGTTGATATCAACTAAATATAAAACCAAAAATAGAATTTATACTTGCATAAATGCCGTTTTCCATTTTCGAAAAACTACATTTTTACATTTCCACATCTGTCAACAGCAGCATATTGGTGCTACATATTAGCTTATTAAATAAATTTAATTATAAATGCCCTCTGTACAACACGCATGCAATAAGTTAAAATAAAATACAATAAAAGGAATACACACATTTTTAAATCCAGCGCCAAGGGGTTTGAAGAAATTGGCCAATTGACTTCCAAAACCTGTAATGGCATCAGTGAAGGCGTTTCGTTTGTGAGATCCGAAGAATTTGGTGACCAGATTGTTAAGACTGGAAACAAGGTTTTTCATGATCATATCAGCGAGACCATTGTGAACACCTACAGGAAATAAAGAAATGGTTAGATTATTGAGTCTATCTCCGGGATATTGGGGGAAACGAAGTGTCCCTTTTGAAACACCTTCCATGTAAAACGTTTAAAGTGGATTAGTTCAAAAGTTTTATTACGCAGATCTGAAAGTATTCACTATCGGCGAATCGACTTTACTTCTGCTAATAGTTTCCGGGCCGCTGAAATAACCTTTAAGCGAACGTAAACATACAAAATCACAAGGTAAAATCCGAGAATCGGAGTGGACGAATCGAAAGTAATTTTATGCAAGTTGTTAATCTAATACATCGAAGGCATATCTACCATGACCAGAGTTAATGCCTATTTTGATATGATGATCAACCGACTAAAACATGTACGATTCACTTTAGTAACCATTTTACCCATTCAGAGGGAACATGTGATACAATCAACCTCTTCTCCGTTCACTCAGCTCTTAGTTTTACCCTAACAGAATTGAATATCAGGTTTTTAGATCCTTAAACAAAATTTTCTTTGGTTTATTGTTATCTTCTAGGGAACATTAAAATCGCCAATAATGGTATGTCTAATTGGATGATAGATAAAATTAGCATATTATGAATATGAGGTTAGACATTGATATCCAAGAGGAGAGCTGTTATCAAGGTACGTTACAAACTTGTAGGAACATTTTAGGGTCTTTGGAAACATGTGTTAGCTGTGGCGGTGGTGGTGTATTTAATATTGCACTGCCTACTTGTGAGACTGAAAACAGTTGTGATTTGTCTGCGCAATCTGATCATCCGGTGACCTAATAATGGCGTTAGAAGGCAGAGTTATTTGGAACGTCGTGAAACCAGCAAATGGTGTGGTACAAAAATGTAACTTACCAACAATGTTGTCAATGGTTTGAACAAGTTCGTTGGGGTTGTCAATAGCATTTTCTACATTATCGATAACGTTCTGGAAGGCGCTTATGGCGTTGGCCAAAACTGGCTTAAAGGAGTCGACTCCGTTTTCAATTACTTTTTTGGCTTCGATTTCGAATTTGGTTACTTGTTGTAAAAGACCACTGAAAATAACCCGTAGACTTATTTACTTATTGTCAAAGATGTGTTCGCTTGAAGTAAATTACGCCTTTAATTGTAACCTTAAAATTTGGTATATACAATGTATTTACTATAAAATAATCAGTAAGCTCACAATAAATAAAACTCATCCTGTCAACAAGTATATTAGAGCAGGGCGTAATTAGCATGCGCAGAAGTATCCCGACTCCATTCGAAAATCGCTAAATGGGCGTGGTAGCCTTAATAACGGGGTTTGTTTCAAAAGAAATTGTTCCTAAAGTACATTTTCTTGGTGATTTGGATATATCTTTAAATCGATTGTAATGTAAACACTTTTATGTACATTCTGGGAATAATCTACGAATTGATTAAGCAACTTTGGATGAGAACTTTCGATTTAGACTTTGTCTGATAACCTGGTAAAATATAGTCTCGTTCGCCAAGAACCTTCGACATACGGATGGTCTGGGTCTGTTGTCAACATTTTACAAATCGTTCCACTGTCCATCCGTAACCGGGAATTAGTTTTTTTTATGTGATTGATTCACTCAGCAAACCTCGGCAGACTCCAGTACCCTACATCTAGCCTCGGCTGCCTAACGAATTCCGACATTGGAACTACTTTCAAGTTCCTGGATTACAAATGGCGGCACCAACGAAGACGCCTGCGAAGAGTGTTTTATCATACAATGTTTTCGATGTCGGAAGCTGTTTTACCTTAAAAGTTTATCCGATTTTTTTTTCAAACAAAGGACAACTTTTTAATGAAAACTCTGCACACTCTCCGAACGACAGTAGGACGTTAAACTCCATTTCATTTCTTCGAACGACGTCATTGTGAGAACTCCTTTCTAAAAGCGACAAGTTTTCCTAATAAGTAAACCGGTAGCCTCATCACAACTGTATGGGTGTAGCTACATATCACTTACCGTCATATAATGTAAAAGACCGATAATCTAGCCAATGACCCATTATTCTCAAATGTTGACAACCCATCCAGACCAATATTCGTGGAATATGTGGCTGAATGATACAGACTAGGTAAAATAGATAATTCGATCGTCAGACCACTGATGGACAAGACACTTATCTCTGAAGGTTAAGATCTACTTTACACTGTATTGGTATGTATTCAAGTATGACATTCAAATTAATTTCCAGAAATGGTGTAAATATAAGACCTCTTTATGAGGCAGACATTCAACAATCTGGACTAGCTAAGGCTTACCTGATTTCGCGTGTGGTTTTGTTTCCCTTGAAAGCACCCATGGTGTTCAAAGCAAGGGCTGAAAGAAACATAAGCTTTATAAATATAGGTCAGTGATTAACTTAATGTATAAATTATTGTTTATGTTTAAAACGCGTTAAAATATCTTAGATATATAACCATTCAAATGAAGTCATTCTGCTGCCGACTAAAAATTATTGGTGGTAAGTGATTTTACATGTAGATAAATAGACAAATTTAAATATTTTTTGTTTGTTTCGATGTCTGATTCGCTTATACATCTCGATAAGCGCACCTTGTTAGACCCTCGACCATGCACCACTAATTGTAAACATGGCTGAGAAATCCGAGGAACTTTCTGGGCCAACAAAAGGCTCGAACTACGATTAGTCAAAAATATATTTCTTTGATATAAATTTTTAAATTTACCTTGTAAGCCTTGCGACAGAAGATTCTTTCCGGCATCTTTTACTTGATTAAATAAAACTCCACCAACATTGTCCAATTGTCCCAAAAGACTTTTACCAACTACCGAAAAGGCGTCTCCAACTTTTTGGAAGACTGATTGCAGCCCGCTAAGAAAATTAGCGTTAGTGCCTGAGGCAACCAGGGCGATAGTCAAAAGCAACAGAAATTTCATTTTGCCTGAAAGGAAGGAGGTGTATTATTTTTAAAAAATGTATTTATATTTGTCAAATTTATAAAAACTTGTTAACTGCGCCTTGCAATTTATGATTTGTATTTCATATAGGTACTTGATGTACGCAACTGATGTGGACAACGAATCGGAATAAGGGTATAAGGAAAAAAGTCAGAACTATTGGCTATATTCTAATAAAATAATTCCAATATCTTGAAACTTCAAGAAAACCTGCAAGCCATTCATTGATTATCCATATAAATGCACTTTTTGTCCTCGTCATATACGCCCCTCCCCACTCAATCCGGCTAAAACCCCTAAAACTGAATCTGATAGAACTAAACCTACCTGTTTCAATATGTTGAACTTATAAAAGCTATCTGGTAATTGTTCATCTGTCTTATATTCGGTTATCTGACCTACAATGGTTTAACCCATATTTACCGCAAATAATAAAAAAATAAATAAATAAAAAACATGGGAGATTCTCAGATGGCGTCACCATGATGCTCACGCTATTGCAAATAAAGATAAAGTAAGGTTAGGTTTGACAGTGATCACTCCATATGTAAATTTCTAGGTCATTACACTGTATAATATATACAAAAGAGAAAATGAAGCTATCCATCGATATCCCTGCCTCAAAATTAAGACCATTGAGGCTATAGGCATTTTTAAAGCCCGATATCTTCCTAAATTAGCACATATTTGACCAAAGCTTTAAACAAGTTGATGCTTGATTAAAAAATAGGTGGCCAGTCAACGAAACAGTCGCCCACCGACAGTCATGTGGTCCGACCTATTCACAATGGTTTGCACTATTTGAATGTTTTGAACTTTGGAAAACAACTGTTATTATCAAATAAGTACAAGGTTTTGATGATAAATTGGAATTCATTTGGGTTTTAGAAGTCCTTTATTGTTCTCAAAAAATGTTCTCCACTCCCAGAAACCTTTAACGTCATAAAATTGGTATTGTTACAACAAAGATGATTGATAGTTGAAATGTGTGATACCAATCTTTGTGCATATCTAAATTAGTTTTTAAAAGATAGCTTATGAAAGACGGGTAAGAGAACGAGATAATTTGAAAACTTATAAATCCTAAACACCCCATTACCCGGTCTAACTATATCCATGTTATTGAAGAAATACGAACATACCATTATTCGTTCATACATGCTCTAAAGAGCTCGTTTTACCTTTAGTTGCGTACCTATTGCAAAATTATGAATTATGTTTTATATAAAAGTAGGGATTAGATATAAATACATTGATCAGTTTTGTAAATTATCATGAGATGGTCGTGGTAATACAGACATAAACAACAACGTCAGATTGTTTGTAACACTTTTATTTTTATTTCATGTTAGGTATTCTTTACCATCTTGGTTATAGGTGAGGTAGGTTATTAAACAGTTGGTGTAGCAATGGCACTGGTTTGTTCTGAAAATATACAACATATTATCATATATACAGCACTAAAATATATCGTATATATACATATAATATATACAGCATTCAGATCTCTCGTAAAAATAAAATATAAGAAATATACAGCACTCATATATCTGGTAGATATATAATATATAATACAGATTTCTCGTAAATATACAAGATTTTATATATACATCATGCTCATAAATTAAATACAGCACCCAGATCTCTTGTAAAAATACAACATATCATATATATAGCACTCAGATCTCTCGTAAATTATACTAATAATATTTTTTGACTCCATCGAGCAAAGGAACCAAGGGGCTTTAGCTATTCTATTTAGTAGCTGTCTTACATTTTATCTAGACCCGTTTGAAGGAATAAGCATTGCAAATGGACTTGAACCCAATTTGAGAGGGACTTGGGTTTATGATTTTTCGAATTTATTCAAATAGAGATAATCGATCGCATATGGTTGGGTCTATGGAACCTTCGAACGGGCGTTTTAGAATTGTGTTTATTATAAATTTTTTCGCATTTTTACGTTAGTTATATACGGAGTAAGATATGCATATGCGTTTAACGATTGTTACTTTTCTCCTCCACATATTTTCAACTTACTGAAGATATCATTAGTAGCAGTTTTAAGAGCACTGAGGGCAGTTAATCCGTGGATAGCCAACTTGGTTCCGAGTTGGGTGGCTGAAGTTTTAACAGTTTCTAGCATGTTGGTACCAGCGGTCTTCAGGGCGGTTCCAGTGGTTGATATCATCTAAAAACAAAACCAAACAATATAATTGTGACTTGCATAAATAATCTGTTTCCATTTTCGATTAATTGCTTTACCACATCGGACAACAGCTGCATCTTGGCGTTCCATTTTTATCTAATTTTAAATAAATTTTATTATAAATGTCGTGAAATAAAATATAATACGACTATTATAATAAAAGTAATTTAATACATACATTTTTGACTCCATCGCCCAGGGGTTTGAAGAAATTGGCCAACTGACTTCCAAAACTTGCCATAGCATCAGTGAAGGCGTTTCGTTTGTGAGATCCGAAGAATTTGGTGGTCAGATTGTTGAGCCCATTAAAAAGCTTTTTCATGAGCATATCAATCAGATTATTGTGAAGACCTAGAGAAAATAAAGACATTGACACTAGTAAAGAACAATACGTAATCTATATCCGCGAGAAGGTGGGGGTTAAAGGAAATAGCATATTTAAATCAGTTTGTTAAATTTGATTGTTTTTACTGATAACTGAGTTTAAAATAGATTAGTTTAAAAGTTTTATCCGCGGATCGGAAACAGTAGAGTCGGAAAAGTACAGTCGGTCCTAGCCGATAGTTAACTAACAAAAAGACATGGTCGAATATGGGAATTAGATTATAAAAATCGAAAGGAATTTTATGCAAGTTCGTAGCCTAGTACATCGAAAGAATATCTACATCAATATGGCCCGAGTTAATGCCTTTAGTATCATGATTGACGGCTAAAATGCACAGTTTTACTGTTAGAATTTTTTAAACAATTCCGACACAGTACGAGAAATAATCATAGGTTATTACCTAACTCACACAGTAATCCATTCTTTAAACAGAGAACTACCTACCTTCAGAATAGATCTCTGACCTGAATGACCACTATATTAGAAAATTGGTCAACTATTTTGTTACACGATTCTTATCCGTTTTACATTGTCCATACAGGCAAAGATTAAATAAACATATTCCACTTTCATTGAAAATGGAAGAGGAATAATACTCTTCTCCAAATTCTTGAAGTATATGTAGAGTTTTCGAATAAAGAGTCGATGTAATAAATACAGTGTCGATCAACTAGCTTCGTGTTTAGACAAACATCATAAGTTTCTTATGGCAATAATCCTATTAGCACGGTCAACCGGGATTTTAGATCAACAGAAAAAAAAGTTCTTTACTTTATCATTATACTGTACATTGTATACTTTGCTGGATGATAAATAAAGTGTGCATATGATTGATATGAAAGTTGACATTTAATATAATCTAGGTGGAAGACAGATATTCAAGTACGAAGTAAATTTTGAGCTACATCTCATTGTATTGTGTAATTTGTTCTCCTCTGTAATTTTAGGGTCTTAACTGAACATAAATTTATATACGAAACGTTTGATAGCTCTAAAGGTAGTTGTAGATGAATGTAATGTATTATACTATGTTCTTTTGAGACTAAAAATAGGTTGAAAGTTTCCTTCCTTAGAAAAGGTTGTGATTTGTCTACATAAAAATGAAATGAAATGAAATAGGGTTTAACGTCCTACTGTTCTGCTCCGAACTGGGCTAATGAAGACGGGCATACGCCATACAGTGTGCTATGGCACTACGACCTACTCTTATATCGAATTCCAACTGTTAGGGGATCGTTTACGTGCACGCCAATGTGTACACGGGTCCTCAGTTTTCCGTCCTGCCCGAACTACTAGGCAGCTGTCCTTGTCAGGCCCTCCGCCCTGCATCACTGACAAAAGGGAACCACGCCGGAAAATCTGGATGAACTTTCGCGGCCAATGCAGGGATCCAACACCCGACCTCCATAGTCTGGAGGCTCAGCGCGGGGGGGGGGGGGGCCATCAAATGGGCACAAAACCAGACCCAACTTTTTTAGAGTAAAATTTTGCGTAGAATACGATGCCGAGTGGTAATCAGTCCGTCGTTGGGGCGTTTTCGAGATATTCGGGGTCAAAGGTCAAATGGGTTCATTTGCACTGAATGTGATTGCGAGGCCATTCTTGTATCATGAAAATAAGCTAAAAATGATCGAAAGTAATCACACTTTCAATAAAAATGTAAACTTGCTAAATTCACCTTTGTTCTTTGTGACCCCAGAGATCAAAAGGTCACATTTTCCGTTTTAGCACTAGGAAGATTTAAAGTAATAAATGTCGGCGTAAAATAATAAAACTAAAGCGAAACCTGTTCTAATTAATAATAGGAACATTTAAAATTTATCTTTAGGTTGTCTTAGCACCAAACTTTTACTTTGGAACGTCGAAAATAATCTTGCATAACAGAACCAAAACGCTTCGGAGCCTGTTTCAAAAATACGTAAAAACTGTTAAATCAAAATCTCTCCGAATTAGTTTTACAACGAATGCTATACATAATGATACTAGTTGTCTGAAAAAAACAATTACATAGTTCCATGGCTGGACTCCAGCCTGCAGGCCGCGTCACAAAGCCTGCCAAAATTTTCCCCGCTAACATTTACCAATACGACATATATCATGTGAACTACTATGTACAATGCATTCGTCGGTTTTATCTGCGTCCATGTTCCAGCGAAATTCATAAAAACTCATAAAAAGTTTGCAAACTTTTAATCTCGTCGCCAGATGCGTGTTTTCCCCGTCACAGATTAACGTCGGTTGTCCTAGACTGGGATTCTTGGAAATCCACGCGGCCTGCAGGCTGGAGTCCAACACTGAAACTATTCAATAGTTTTTCAGATAACTAGTATCATTATGTATAACAATCGTTGTGAAAATAAATCGGAGAGATTTCGATTTGACAGTTTTTACGTATTTTTGAAACAGGTTTCAAAGTGTGTTGGTTCTGTTATGCAAGATCATTTTCGACGTTCCAAAGTAAAAGTTCGGTGCTAAGACCACCTAAAGATAAATTTGAAATGTTCCTATTATTAATTAGAACCGGTTTCGCTTTAATTTTTATATTTTACGTTGACATTTTATTGCTTTAAATCTTCCTAGTGCAAAAACGGTAAATTTCACCTTTTGACCTCCAGGGCCACTAAGACTAAAGGTGAATTTAGCAAGTTTACATTTTTATTGAAAGTGTGATTACTTTCGATCATTTTCAGCTTCTTTTCATAATACAAGAATTACTGCGCATTCACTTTCAGTGCAAATGAACTCATTTGAACTTTGACCCCGAATATTTCGAAAACGCCCCAACGGCGGACTGATTACCACTCGGCATCGTATTCTACGCAAAAGT